ATAATGTCACCTTATTGTCCCAGTTTTTGAAAATGCTTATTGCCCTCATACAGCGAACACTGTAAAAAAAATTCCGTAAAATTTACGGTAAAAAACGGCAGCTGTGGTTGCCGGAATTTTACCGTGAAAAAATACGGTAGCAACGTTTTAGGTTTTACTGTTAAATACCGTAATTTCATTAACTGATATAAATGTTAATATACCAACCTACTGAAGTACTGAAATCTGTTTTGTACCTTTGTAATACACTGATAACCATCAAATGCAGGTGGTGATGAGAAAGTCACATGATGAACCAAAGCCCATCACAAGCAGCTTTTAAATAATAACATATATAGAAGATACACAGTGTCAGTCACACAAACACTAAACACCATCATGGTAACACACATGAAACTGAAATAATGCATTAAACATTCATTTAACAACATTAGGTGTAACACACGCAGGGAATTCTGGGAATGTCAATTTACGGTTATTCACTGTAAATTATACTGTCTTTTTCACTTCCCCGTAAAATTACATGTAATGTCCAACACAGTTTTTCACCATATATAGTAGGGGAACTTACCGTTAACCATTTAACAGGTTTTTACTGTAGCATTTTTACAGTTTTTTAACGTTAAATTCACGGTCATTTTTTATAGTGAACCTTTCACTTATTGTTTACGGAAGTTACTCTCATAATTTGAGCAAAGCATCATGGGGCGTAGGAAAAAGGTGGATATGTTATCATTTTGCCTTCATACATTTGTTTTCAAATACTTGAACTAAATGCACAGTTAATATATGGGATTTAGAAATGTAATTATTTTTGTTGGAGATGCTCAGGGACTATTGGTGATGTGAGGATGACCTGTGACAGTGCAGCGAAAGCCCTGGCATGGAGGAGTGGGTCTCTGGCAGGAGTATCGCGATGCAGCGGTGCAGGCGTCCTCCTCTCGGCCCTGATCATGACACGGATCTCCTCCAAACTCAGACGGCTGGACCAGCGTGGCATAGCGGTACTGAAGATACACACAACAAGTGTGTGAGACTCAACTCGCACATTTAGAAAAACCGTGTTTATAAAGACACAGTCACGTGAAGTTGAATGTATGTGCTATGCTGTAAAGATTAAAAGTGACCCTGGAGCACAAAAGCAGTGTTAAGTCGCTGGGGTATATTTGTAGCAATAGCCAACAATACATTGTATGGGTCAAAATTATCCATTTTTCTTTTATGTCCAAAATCATTAGGATATTAAGTAAAGATCATGTTCCTTGAAGATGTTTTGTACATTTCCTACCGTAAATATATCAAAACTTAATTTTTGATTAGTAATATGCATTGCTAAGGACTTCATTTGAACAACTTTAAAGATGATTTTCTCAATATTTAGATTTTTTTGCACCCTCAGATTCCAGATTTTCAAATAGTTGTATCTCGACCAAATATTGTCCCATCATAACAAACCATATAACCAATTGAAAGCTTATTTATTCAGCTTTCAGATGATCTATAAATCTCAATTTAAAAAAATTGACCCTTATGACTGGTTTTTAAATGTTTAAATGTTTAATTTAAAGATTAAAAAAGCAGCATGTTATCAACATTCTTAATAAACATTCTATATAAAGGTGTAAATGAGCAGACAGACAACTAGACAATATAACCCCACTCTCACCCTCTTCTTAAGACAGGGGTCACAGCGTGTCCATGAGGACCATTCAGACTCTGAACAGTCCACTGGATCTTTAGGCGGTTGTTCAGCGGTCCTGTCTTCTGAACGACAAAGCACTACAGCACTGTTGGAAGCAGATTTATGCTGTTTGTGAACGCAGTATGTAAGGGAATTTATAACAAAATGGCAGAATTCAGATTCAGGCCCTTATAATAGTTTACATTGCACAGAAGGTATTTGGATACTTTGGGAGACTTAAAGCACGTCACACTTGAAAAAAATTCTGAATTTAATTGCATTAAAAAAAAAAA